GTTGTACATAACCTTCCTTTGGTATTTCTGTAAGTCTGAGAAGGAGACAAACTTTTTTTTTTTTATCAAATCTTCAACCCCAAGGGCCCTTTCTAGGTGCAGCTCAGGCTGATCTAACTGTAATCCCCAGAATTCATACTCTCTGCAACCCCTCCGCTTCTGTGAGTACCTTGAAATCTTTGTTCTGCAGCTGCGGCAGGAGTACAGCCTCTTGTCTCTTTCATTGGAGAAAAATGTGTGCCTTCCCCTTCCCTCCTTCTCCCCTCCCTCCTACATGTCATGGAAACTGAAATAAAACTCATTTGACCATACCTACATGGGTAGTCTCTGTGGTTAAAGAAAGTGTGGGAGCCTTAAATTACAAGGACAACAATGTCATTATTGGATTATACACTTAGGTTAACAAAAGCAGTGGCGACTCCTGGGAGGGATGCAAGGAGGGCATGGGTCACATGATTGCCTTCATACGTGACTCCTCTCCTTGCCATCTCTAGGAGGGTGTTGAGCCCAGAACAATTCCGACTCTTGCCATCTCTGCCCACCATTGACAGGCCAGGGGACTGGCAGGGGGGCTGTCACTGGCAGCAGGGGTCGCCCCTTCCCTGTACTCACTGGCAGCGATGAAAAGTGGTGCAGTTGGCCTCAGCATTCTCTGCTCTGATGGCTCCCAGCCATGTCACTCCACTTCCTGTGAGGGAGGTACCACACTTTCCCATAACCCCCCTCTTCTAATGATGTGGCTGGAGTGGAGTGGGCTGGGGCAAAGTTTTCATGTGCTTCCTCACACCTGTGCTAATTAGGGTGTGTGGGTGGAGGAGCATGGAAGCGCCTTGCCCCTGCCCCTTTCTGTCTGAAGCCTCGCACATTCTGGGGCTTCGAGGGGCCACTTAAAATTTGAGAACTGCCCCCCCTTCTAAAATTATTGCCCACCCCTGTTCTAGACTGAGCACAGAGTCCCATTGGGTAGATAAAAATATTAATATAAATAGCCTATCCAGAAACCTCTGGAACCCCATAAGATTGGGTCTCTACTCCATGAGCTATTGGAACTTATTTACAATAAACAGTACATGAATTAGGATTAGCATTTATATTCCTATTCTTGATGGGATATCTTTGAGCTATGATATATCTTAATTAAAACTATCTTTAAATAGGTGTTTTTCCTTTAAAGCATTTTACCAAATAATCCGCTTTAAATGAAAAAAAAAATTGATTTTAAAAAAAATAAACATTGATTTTTATCCACCCTGCTGGGTGCTTATTCTTAGCTTATTTGCCTTTATGGCATCTTGCAGCACATTTTGATATTCTTTTATAACTTTGCCTAAAAACTTTGAATTTACTATATAGGATCATTTGTTTTTAACTACAATAAAAAGTTGAATCAGAGATCAAATACTTTTACTGAACAGATTCAGCTTTCTGTGTATCCAGAGAAACAGGAGCAAGTGGTTCCAGCTTCTTTCAGACTTCAGAGATGATATTCAGGATCATAGAATCACAGAACTGGAAGGATCCCCGAGAGGTCATTCAGTCCAGTCCCCTGCACTCATGGCAGGACCAAACACCATCTTGATCAGCCATGGGCAACCTAGTGAATGGGCCAGATAAGTGGTCCACCTTTATTTCAATGGGCCGCATTGTCATAACCAAGATGGTCTCCCTGGGATATGGTAGTTTTGCTAACTGTGTTTTCATGCCTAGAAATTGCATGGCGTGCTGATTGAACCATAGCAGTGCTGTGAATGAATGCAGGGGGAGTGCACTGCTCACAATGTTGTGTGCAATCCCTTCACATGTTCTGGTTTTACATGCATGTCACTTCAATAATATCAGTAGGAAAAAATACCTATGTGGATGGAAACCAGAAGAATGTGGCAGCCCTGCATATGGACAACAGTAAACAAAATGTTTCATGGGCCACATGTAGGACCCCAATGGGCTTGCATGTGATTCTTGGGCCACAGGTTCCCTATCACTGATTTAGACCATCCCTTACAGGTCTTTGCTCTTAAAAATTTTCATTGATGGAGATTCCACAACATCCCTAGATGATTTATTCTAGTGGTTAACCACTCTGGCAGGAAGTCTTTCCTAATGTCAAGGATCCAGCATGAATCCAAAGGCTTGCCTTTTGGCAATAAACGCACTTGGGTTGATCAACCATGTATTGCTATTATTTAATAAAATCAAAAGATTGGCCTTAATTTACCACAAACTTAAGGATCACTCTTGGGTTTGAAGATTAATGATATGACTGCTTCTTATGCTGTATGGGGAGGGATGACACTGAAGTCCGGGACCTCATTAAATGCTTCTGTTAGTTTCAGGACCAGTAACTCTTGTTGGTCTTATAAAATACTCCAGGGAAGCAGTCATCCTCTGGAGCTTTCTTTGCTTTAAGCCTTTAATAGTCTCTGCTACTGTGTTCATCCTTCTCTGTAATTAGAGGACTGCCAATTTACAATAAAGTTTTTAAGTTTGAGAAGGAATTCTTAAGTTACTCTGGTTGTTCGTAGTTTTAAGGAATGTCACAGGTAGCTTGGGACATTAGAACCAATCCAGGTAATACTTCTCAGTATACAGATGCATACAGCATGCTGTCACTTCAGGCATACAACATATATGATGCATGCTTGGTTAGGACAAAACATTGCTATTTGACAGGAATAATATACCTATCCCAGAAATTGTATCTCCTTAAATGTGATCATTTCCTATAAAGCATACCCCCTGAGTGCTCTGAGAACAGCATTGACGTAACGGGGGATGCAGCACTAAGCAAGGACACTGACTTAGAGCAGATTTTACTGTGGCCAAATCATTCTCTAGATTGTTTCAGGGCCCTATGGGGAAAGAAGCCTTCCTTGTGCAGATGTACTTTGTTCTGTGCAGAAGGTGGACGGGTCAGATAGTCATAGATTCTAAGGCCAGAAAGCATCATTGTGTGACAATCTAACATGACCTCCTGTATAGCACAGGCCATAGAATTTCCCCAAAATAATTCCTGGAGCATATATTTTAGGAAGAAAACATTGTTCTGGATTTAAAAATTGTCAGTGATGGAGAACCTGCCATTGCCCCTGGTAAATTGTCCCAGTCATTAATGACTCTTGCTGTTAAAAATGTATGCCTTGATTACAGTCTGAATTTGTCTAACTTTGGTTTACAGCCAGTAAACCACTTCTTCTGCAGTGTCTTCCTCCTCCATTCTGTGAGACCCTCCAAAGGGGGGGTCTCTTCCTTGTCAAGAGCTAGTGGGGGAGACAGGGGGGGAACTTAAGTATGGGGTTGTTGAGCCGTGTGCTATGCTGTAATGCCAACAGGTTGACCTGAACCTGGGACTTCTGGAGCTTAGTGCATGAACCGCTACAGCTTGAGCTAAAAGCCAGCTGGCTCTCAGTGAAGGTCATAGAACACACTCATTCTTTCTCTCTGTAAGCGGTCTCAGTGCCAGCAGGGTGTGTGGGTCACATGACAGTGTTTGCCTCTCAGCAGCCCTTTGTGATTAGAATACAGCTTTCAAAACAGCTCCATTTGCATGGAGGGAATTCTACCTACCTCTGTCAGGAGGAATCTGAGGGGCAGCTGAGATCAGAGGTCCTAATAGCTTTATAGAAATCACGGAACTGGAAAGGGAGTGGAAGGCGCGTTTGGAGTTAACTCCAGAGTCAGTGTGGTAAGATGAGATCTCTATATTGATGGCTCTTGCCTAGAGAGCAACTGCAGCTTATTCTGCTGGGGGCAAACCCTGTCTCTTGAGAATGATTTTGGAGAAATGTTGCAAGGAAGTTTTTGGAGTCTTTCTCAAACTTGCAGAATCTCTGTGGGAAAGTGTGATTTGCTCCTTGTAGGCCGTCAGTGGTCATAGAACCATCCATAATTACTCTATGGTCAGGCTGCAGATCACATGGTGGGCTGCTCTAGTTTGCCCAATGTATTTGTTCACCTCTAAAATATATTTTTTAATAACTACAACAAGAAATCCTATGGCATCTTAAAAACTGACCAGTTTATTAGGCTTAGTCTTTAAGGTACCATAGGTCTCCTTGTTGTTTTTTCTGAAACAGACTAACACAGATACTTCTCTGGAATTTATAATTTTAAATGGTGCTAATCTTGCCTTAGATTGGAATTCTCTCTCAGCTCACCTTCATTCTTTCCCCAGTTTGTGGGGTTTATTTTCAGGAAGTTACACTGCTGAGTAATAGGGATGTTAATTAACCTATAGTTAACTAATTGACTGGTTGATTAGTTGATAAGCTGTGGAGCCACAGCGGGGCTAGTTCCTGGCCCACTGGGTTCTTAATACATTTAAAAGGCTACAGTGCAGCAGGGGGGACCCAGCGTGAGCCAGGCTAGCTGATACCTGGTTCGTGCTTGGTCCCCCCTGCTGTGCTTTAGCCTTTTAAATGTATTAAGAGCCCGTTGGGCTTTTAAGTCAACTCTGCCCAGCACCCGCTCCTGCTTCCCCCGCATTGCTGCCTCTATCAGAGGGGGGAAGTGACTAGTCGACTATCCGATAAGCTTTTGTTTACACCCCTACTGTGTAGTAATTGGTGGTGGCTGAGGCATCTTTGTTCATTTTGAGAAGACGGTTAGTGAAATAAATTCAGTTGCTTAATTTGATTGAATATGTGATAACAGCATGCTAATACCCTGTTTGCTGACTTCAAATTCTTGTTCTGGTCAGCTAACTGCCTCTGAGAGAGTGCCAGGATACGGCAGCAGTATTACTGTTTCTTTCATAAAAGTATATTAAGTTTAAATTTTGTGTGTGTTTTGTGAGGTTTTTTTACTCTAACAAATGTTTTAGTTTCAGATCTTTCAAATGGTTTTCGAGTTTGTGCTGCCAAGAAATGCATATCAGAGTTATTGTATTACTTATAAACAAGGCTCTTTGTATGTGGAACTCTCTCATTATATTCTTAAGGTTGGGTAATATATCTTCTGTCTTCAGTGATCCAAAGAAGTTTGCGTACTTAAAATAAACTTACCTGAGATCATATGGGCTGCTTCTGTGCTTCAGCATGATTTCAGTATTATGTCCCAGAATGCATTCTGGGAAATCCCATCTTGACTGGAGTACAACTGGTGTGATTATTTTGGGAGGATACACAAGATAGAAAAATGAAAGGGGAAAAGATTAGTTACCTGCTAAGTATCACTTTGGCTATTGAAGATATTCAGCAGTGTAAAATATACTTGTGAAACATTCCTTTAAAAAAATCTGTTTTTCTAGATATAATACAAAATATATGAGGACATTTCTGTAAGACGTATTTTTAATAAAATATATATATCTTTTTTTTCTCTCAGTAGGCAATTAAAATCTGGAAGACTTGATTTCAAAGCTTATGCCAGTGATTTTCAAAGGAAGGACATCTACATGAAGAACTACAAAGGGATTTGATTTGAGAAGATCCAGTGTCGCAAAAATGACTTCATGTTGTATGATTCCAGTGTTTGCTTTGATGGTTTTATGTTTAGCAGCTGCAGGTAGGTGCCATTATGTAAATCATGTGTTCATTGTAGCTCATTGTGTACATTTGGAATTATTGATCAAAAATAGATGTTCATACTGAAATAATTTAGGTCAGCTAAAACTCTTGTAGGGTCTAATTGCAGAGATAAAGCAGTAGTGTATGGTTATGATAGCACTTTCTGGTATGAGTATTTGATGAGAAATAACACTGCTTCTATCACAGGGCTCTTGCTTACAGTTCCTGTTAGAATCTTTTAGAGTTTTCAAATAGTTAATATTCACTGGCATTCATTTTGTTACAATTTTACCTGTATAGGATTTTTAAAGTGTCTTACTGATTTATTATGTCAGTGGCAATATTTATGGTAGTCCCTGTGATCAGGACTTGAAAAGATCATCTTGCTTTGTGCTGACTGGAATCTGTGTGGGTGAGTGCCATTAACTTGTACGGAATCTAAGATTTCATTTAAAAAGTATTAAGTTTCTGGATTGAAAAAATCCTTCCAAATCTGGGTTAATTGTAAATAGTGCATCAGTGTTTTCCCAAGGCTGCAGAGACCACTGCTGTTGCCGCTCCTAGTGAGTGTCTTCTTTAGTAGTTAACCTGATTGACTGACTGGAACCTGGGTCTGAGCAGCCAAGTTTGCCTAGTCCACTTGCAAGCCTCCCCTCAGTTAAGCCCTACCTGTGTCACTACGTCTGGGGGCCTATGGTTCTTTTGTACTGACATTATTCTAGGATTCTTAACGAGTCACTTGTGCCAGTTCAAGGAGAACTGGACCATCTATTGGGGGAATTAAGAACTATCAACACTCAGGTAACTTTTATTTATTTATTTATTTTCCCTGTATCCTGACTGCAAAGTTTGCGGTTCCAGACTGAGTTGAAACAGGCTCAAACCAACCCCCTCAGTAGTTTAGGCTAGCTCAGGCTTAAAGAACCTCCAAAAAGGATAGGGTTGCTGGGGTTAAATATAGACTTAATGTTTGCAGGTTTAAGGCCTATACTCAGTATGGCTATAAACTCACTATGTGGTGTATTTTAAAAGATGCGTGTAAAATTTTTTAATGGTGACCAGTGTATTAAAGTTACCGGAAGGGATATAGATGAGGGAGGTACATTCCGATATATAGGGATTGGATCTACTCCATATTTATCCCTATGTAAATACTTTTCAAGTAGTATTTTATAACATCTCCTAAATGCAGAAATAAAATGATCTGAAGGTTCAAGTCTATATAAACACGCACTTTTACTTGCATTTTCTGCAAGTGATATTTTGAAATGTCCACTAAATTTATTTGTGCTTGTTAAAATTCTCTCTCTTTAGTGGAGCACCCTTTGCTTTGCTTTTTGTTCTCCTTGCTTGCAAGTATATTGTCCAAAACTCTCCACTGGGGAGTGGCAAACACAGATGCAGTCAGTCAAAATGAGGTAGTGGGGAGACTGGACAGTGGACAGATGACTTGTTTTAAATTTGGGATGTCCTCATTGTGGAAAAGATTACCAATTATGGAAGAGATGTCTAAGCAATAAAGTACATTGCAATCTGGCTTCCTTTCTCCAATTACATGGAAAATGTTTTTTTTTTTTTTCAAGAATGCCCTCAGTCATTAAGGGACTTAATCCAGGGGTGACCTACCCTCTAAGTATCCAGTCAGGACTAGTAACTCTGATTATTGAATAGTACTTGATGCAAGAGTCTGCAATGAGTTCATTGTTTTATAAGTAATCTTATGCAATATGGGATTTGCCTGTTTTGTGTGTCTGTCTGTGAACGTGTTTTGCATGTGGAGATGAGGCTGTAAGTGCCATTGTGTGATGGGAAAAGGGGATACCTGCTCAATAGAGGAAATCATAACTCTTTTCAAAAGGAAAAAAGTCTTTAAAAATGCCAGTATGTGCATCTGACGTGTTCATTTTACTTATTATTAAACATATTGGCAGTTCCTTTTCATGTCCTTCTGATAAAGGGCTAATTTACTAATCTAACCCTAACCCACACCCTAGCGCTGACCTTGCACCTTAAAACTTCTTTTATTTTCTCCTCCTTTCCCTGTTTCTCTTTGCTTAAGATATTTTCAGGAAAAAAATATTGCTGTTGCTCAGGAATTTATCAGCTGCTTTTTCCTCGCTTGGAGCCTGATGCTTCCCTGCCCTTGCCCTGGCAGAAGGGAGCACAATTGAGTGAATCTATATAGTGGGAGAGTAGGTGGGCTAGAAATGGTTTTGTGGGATCTGTTTCCTGCTGTCCTGCAGAGGCTCGAGTGGAAGTACCAATCTTAGGGCAGACTGTTGAGAAGATGGACACAAACCCCAAATTGGCTTTGAGTTTTGTATTTTAAATGTCATCAACCAGTTACCAAGTATAAACTTCTTTGCCATTAAGAGCATAGCCATGGAGTCAAGGTACTCCATCTCCCTTTCACCTGCACAGGCTTACCTTTTATTTAGGTAGTTTATTACAGGACTAGCTACAAGCATTGTTTTTGCTGTGAGATCTAAGGCACACTGGACATGTGGAAACTGACAGTCCTTTAAGACTAAGAGTAACCTGAATGCTGTTGTCTCATGCAAGGGACTATCTAAAAGTGGTTGGAGCCCTGGAAGGAGCTGTTGGCTCTTCAAATTGCCTCTGGAGTCCCAGGACTTATGGCTGCTGTCACTGCACTTCCAGGGCTCCTAGTGGCTAGGGTAGTAGCAGTCATGAAGGACTGGCTTTGGAAATTTGTTCCCAGCCCTATCGCTTCTGGAACCACAGAGCTCTTTCCTCTCCTCCCTTTGCTCAGGACCCAAGCTGCCCTCGACTGCATAAGTCTGGGTATGTATATTATGCTACTCTGCAGGGATAAAAGTATCTCAACTATGGGACTGTCACTGGTATAGGCTGGCTTCTGAAATCCATAGGAAATCTGTACTGAAAGGTTTCAAACTTGAGTCCTTTATGTGCAATTTTTCCTGATAGCAGAAATATAATTAAGACATATTAGGGGGCTGTGCCCCCTACTTGCTGTGCTTGCCAACCCCCCTCTCTGGGGGTAAACAACCCTGGTCTCCCTGCCCTGGGCTGCTTGGGAGGGCCAGACCAAGGCATGGCAGCCATGGCCTGCCCTGGCTCTCTCCCCACACCTGCCAGAACCCCCTGAGGCCTGGCTAGCCTGAGCTCTCTCCCCTCCCCGGCTGCCAGGGGTTTGGGCTGGACTGAGGATGGCCCAGCTCTTCCCCCTGGCTGCCAGGGAAGGGCCCAGGGCTGAGGTCACCCTGGCTCCCTCGCTCCCCCCGCTAGACACTGGGGAGGGTCTGAGGCCAACCCAGCTCTTCCCTCTCTCTCCCCCTCCTCCCAACCCTCCCCCCCAGAAGCTAAAGCTGCCCCTACCTCTTTGCCCCACATGTGGCCATCAAGGATGGGGGCCGAGGCCTGGCCATGCCTCCAGCTGCCAGGGGGAGGGTGCATGGTTCCCAGACTCCCTCCTCCCGCAAGGGGAGAGGGTGCGTGGCTCCCGGCCCCTCCTCAGTGCTCTGGTGAGACCAGGGAAGCTGCATGGCTGCCACCTGCCCCAGCACCGGGGAGGCTGGGGCACTCAGCACTGGGAAGGGAGGCGGCTGCGTGGCTGAGGGGGACGGGTTGCAGGACACAGAGCGATGTGATGACATCACAATGTTCTGTTGGAAAAACTTTTCTATAGATACAAAAAGATATTGGTAAAAGTATTTTCCTTTGTCCCTGAGGTGAAGGATAAGTGAGGCAGAGGGCAGCATGCCACCTCTCTAAGGAGATACCTGGTATACGCTGAATTTTCCCCCAGCTAGAGTTTCTCTGCTCCTTTAATGTTCTTAAATGGTAAAGTTTCAGGAGAAGATGACATCTCTTTGTGAAGCCCAGAAAGCCTAAATTAACTTCCGTACTGCTCATACATTTGCTGATGCTGACCAGTTCTCTTATCTTCAGTAATGTTGCCTTTTGGATATGGGTAAAATGAGGTACTTCTAGTCTGACTTTTCTATTTCTGCTTAATCGACTACTGATTTTTTTTTCCAGTCTTGCCTCTGAAGAGTACCAGCGTTAATTGTGCTTTGAATACTATGAGGGTTAAAAACATAAAGATAAATGAGAAGGATATCACAGTATTAAGGATAATCAATTCAGGTTTCAACTGTAAAACTGCATATGAAGTTCTGTGTGTTGATTTTCTAGTTCATAGATAGTTATATGAATTCTGCAGATATCGGAATTGATCCATGCAGTATCCAAGAGGTTGTCTACCACCCAGTTCTGGGTCCCTTTTTACCCAGCTATGTCTGTGGATACTTGCCTGAATTGTACCTTACTTCTGGTTTGCAAACAAACTTCTTTTAATTTTTTGTTTGTGATATTTGATTTCTAGGTAAAAGCTCTGTTTTAAATGTTCAAAAATGTTTTTCACCATGGAAAATCTGTTACTTCTTTGAAGACAGAGTACTGAGTTGCTGCCAAACTACCTGGCTGTTTAAAATAATTTTATCTTTGAAGTGAGGACAAAGAAAGATTTAGCAGCCTGGAATGCATTGTCGGAACTGCACATAAATAATTAGAAGTGCAAACAGTACATTCTTGGATAACCTCATAAACAAGTCTGGCTTTGTAGCTTTAGGAACACCGCTATTCACACTGAGGCTATGTGTAGACTGCCGAGAAAAGTCAGAAAAAGATACGTAAATTGTGAACTGCTATTTGCGTATCTTTTTCAGCTTTTTTTCCGAAAGAGGCTTTTCTGATATTTGGACCATCTACACAGAGCTAAATTTTGGAAAAAGCTCCTCTTTCGGAACATCCCTTCTTCCTCTGACTGAGCGGAGTACAGGAATGCTGAAAGAACAGGGTTGCTTTTTCGGAAACTGTTCCGGAAAAACGGATGCGTTTCTTGGACACTGCAGAGGTATCCCAGAAAAGCTCTGCAGTCTAGACGTAGCTTGAGTTACCAGTGTGATCGGTTGCAGACTTTGATTTAAGCCACATTTCTTTTACTATCTGTTAAGTATTTTTTAGTGGGGAACATTGTGAAATGACTTCAAGGAGGTGAACAGAAAAGAACAGATGCTACAAATCCTGAGGGCCTGATCATCCTGTGAGGTGGTTATGTATGCAAGGAGAAAGTGTAAACTTTCCTTATTGTGTTGGCTTCCTGGCATGTCCAACTTTGTACTTGGATTTGAGAGGAGATTTGTGTGGGGAGGGGGGCTTCCTGCATCTTATGATTCTGCAGAGGCCATGGCCATCCATTTGGAAGCTGTGAGGCAGATTTTTAGCCTATGTAAATTGTCATAGCTCCATTAATGTCATGCTACTGTTGGCTGAGGAGCTGGCCCCAGTACTGTGCGATACCTGGGGGCTCTTCAATGTTTGGTAGTGCCCCTCCCTGTGCTGAATTGCCACAATTGTGATAAGGAAGATGGATGGGCTTCGGAGAGAGAGATAGTTAGTAACTAGCCTGCTACAGACTTAATCCATAGATTCTCCATTAGAAATGTTTTCACCTATGCTGGCTCCAGCTGCTCTCTGAGATTTTAGCTGAAAAACGGCCTTTCTTCCTAAATGGCTTCTCTAGGTCCTTTTAAAATTATTTCACTAGTTCTTGTAAATAACCTTGTGCCTGAGAAGCAATTTACTTACTAGCAATTTACTTTCTTATGTCCCATTTGATACTTTATCTATGGTAAGGGAGCTTGCATTTATGTGAGCCTTGGACCTGAGCCCTCAAGCACTGTGATGATGGGCAGGAATAAACAGGCTATATCTTCCCATCCTTCTTTCAAGAGGAACTTCTTGCTGCCTCTTTATGCTGTAGATGCAGAAGCAATCAAGACCCCAATAGACTCTAACAAAGTCCTTCTATATAAGGAAACAAGTTGGGGAGAGAAATTAATAGGCTGTAACACTGGCAGGCAGTGGCAGATCTTTCCTTCTTAAATAAGATGGGCCATGTATTCTCCAGATTAATTTTTACTGCAGTGTTTATTTTTCTATTGCAAAAGTTTTCAATAGGAAGTTATTTTCAGTTTGGGAGAAATTACCAAGAGCCATTGTGTCATAGATATTGGAAAACATGAAGAGCTCATCTGGCTCTGAGTGCAAATTTGATACTATCTCTGAACCAGATGAGTACCCAGACATCAGCTTCTTCAAGATATGCCCAGCAAACGAAATAACAGAACACAACTAGTCATTCTCTACAGCCCCCAACTTAAACCTCTCCAGCGCATCATTAACCATCTACAGCCTATTTTGAAAAATGATCCCTCACTCTCACAGGCCTTGGGGACGGGCCAGTTCTCACCTACAGACAACCACTTACCCTGAAACATTTTTTCCAGCAACCACACAACACACCTCAAACATACTCACTGGGGAACCCACCCCTGCAATAAACTCAATTGCCAGCTCTGTTCATGCTTCTATATGAGCAACATCATCACAGGACTTAACCACATAAGCCACTACATCAGAGGCTCATACAACTGCACTTACACAATGTGATTTATGCTATCAAGTGCCAGCAATGCCCCTCTGCCATGTATATCGGCCAAATTGGACAAAGGATTAAGGGATACAAATCAGATATTCAAAATGGCAACACACAGAAACCTGTTGGGGAACATTTTAACTTGCCTGGCCACTGATTAATAGATTTAAAGGTGGTCATTGTCTTATGAAGTAACTTCAGGAATCAGCTAGAGAGAATCTGCAGAACTGGTCTTCATATGCAAATTTGACACTATCTTTCATGGCTTGAACAGAAACATTAACTGGATGGGACATTATATTGAACACCCAAATGCATCAAAAGCTAAATATCAGGCAATCACAGCCCACTCTATTAGCTTCATTTAGCATGGACACTTTGACAGGGTTCCCCCCCCCCTTCCTCTTCTCCCCTCTTTCTGCTTAATAATTGAGCCTCTGTGCCTCTTGCTCCATATTTGTCATCTGAAGAAGTGGGTTGTGCCCATGAAAGCTCATGATATTATCTATATATTTTTGGTTGATCTCAAAGGACATGTCTACAATAGGAAATTATTTTAAAATAAGTTATTTTGAAACAATAGTTCCCCAAAATAACAATTTTGCAATAGTGTCCACATTATGGGGAAGCTTCGAAATTAGTCTGAGGCAGGCTCCTTTACTGTGGATGTGCCACCTCGACTTAGAGCCCCAGAAAGCATGGGGGAGCAATTACTCTGAATAACTCTGGAGAGGAGTTATTTTGAAATAGCAGCAGTGGAGCATCCACACTACCACTATTTCGAAATCGTTATTTCAAAATTAGCATTATTATTCATGGAAAGTAGGCGTTCTTTGAGTGATGTTCCTGTAGGTGCTCCACAGTTGGTGTCAGGCTTGTCCTGGCACCACAGATTGGAAACTTTGATAGCAGTGATTGGGTGGGCTGCGCATACGCGAGCAGAGAGCGACGCTCCCACCTTTGAAGTAGTGCACACAGCCCGCTTCTCCTCAGTTCCTTCTTCGCCGCCCTCGGCCACAGACTGAGCTCAGTTCTCTCCTCCTCAGAGTGCTCTGCAGGATAAAGCAGAAACACCTTAACAAAGTAGATAGTCCTGAGGCACTCGGGACTACCTTCTTTTTACACAGAAAACAGACACAACAACAAAAAGCCGCCGCCGACAGCTTTTATCGCCGCGCAGTGGCAAGTTGCAACAATCAAACAAAAGAAAAAGGAAATGGAAACCAGCGACCCACAAACAGTCTCAGATGCTTGTACAGCTATAGATAACTTCTGGGAGACATGCCAGACTTTCCTAAGGAGAAAAGATGTGGCAAATGTCGAGAATTTATGCCAGCCTCTGATGCCCACAGTGAATGTATATGTTGGGGGACACACATGTACCTCCAAAATGTGTCCATTACCATAACCTCATAACCAGAGCTCACAAGGGACGGAAGCTCACAGTGCGCACACGGTCTATGGATAGAACCCTGGAGAGCAATAAGGGCTCGGGCACAACTTCTTCTCAGGGCAAACAGCCAAGCCTTTCACCTCAGAGAACACGCTCAGAACCTAGACCCTCACCAGCCAACTCTCTCCCCTTAAAAAAAAAAAAAAGCAAAGGAGAGGAGCCAGGCACTTCAGGCATGGCAAAGTCTCCAGCCTCTTCAGTAACGTAACGTGCTCAGAACAGCCCTCAATCAGCTACCACAAAAAGGGCATCTAGCAAGGATCCTGTGGAGACAGAGGCTCCACTGGCATTAAGGGCCCTGGCTCGCCACAGGCACATTCAAGATCCTTAGCACATTGCCAACCTACGGTACAACATTTGCTGGTGGCATAGAAAACCGATAGGGCTACCTCTAGCTGCCCCCTAGTATCCCACACTAACTCTAGATCTCCTGGGATCACGGCTGCACCCAGGCTACCACCACAAGTGCCGACCAGCGTGGCAGTGGGTCACAAGCCTGCATTCCATCATCCGTTCCTCAGGTTGCAAAACACAAGTGCCACCAGGACATGATGGGGGGCATCTAGGACCTTGTCCCCTCCTCAGCCTTCACCATGACACTGTTCATGATCCCCACTATGAACAAGGGGCTCGCCATGGTCACCATCCTTATCACAATTCAGTGCCTACCACGGGGATACAGGGAGCTTTGTTCTCCTCACAAAACTCCTCCCTAGATAGGGTACATGCACGTTATGGGGCATACAGATCACCGCATTACCAACATCCCCTGTGGCACACTGATTGGCATTACTGTGATACTCATCACAGCCAATGGTCCCCCAATTGTTACTGGGAACCATGACACACCTCCACTGCCCCGCCTATGCCTGCACAAAGTTCTCTGCCCTCCATGCACTCAGATGCTTCACATTACCCATCTGAGGTCTCGGATCTAGAGGAAAGACAGATCGAGGATGACTCAATCATCCACCGATCTGATATAGCACCGAATGATAATTCATTCTCTGCTCCTGATGAAGCAGTTATTCCAAACGACCCAACATACACTGATGATGTCAAGCAATTCCAGTACCTATTTAAAAGGGTGTCTACCAGTCAGGAGGCCCAGGAGAAACCACACAAACTCCTAAAGAATCTACAGCCCACTGCAAAGTCCAAAATCACACTGCCTCTAGATGAAGCAATTCTTGAGGCAGCTGATGAAGTCTGGCAAACACCTGCAACGTCCCCTCCAGCTAATAAAAGGGCCATTAGGAAGTATTTCGTGCCATCTAAGGCATAGACTTTCTCTACCTGCACCCCCAACCAAACTCCTTAGTGGTTGACGCTGCCAATCAAAGGTCCAAAGAACGCACAACACATACGCAGGACAATCACTACAGACTGGTGGGTCCTAGAGCTTGTCAGCCATGGTTATTCGATCCCTTTCACAGCAATTCCTCCAACCTCCCCACCTATTACCATTTTGTCAGAATACCTTCCTGGAGACAAGAACATTATGGCAGATACCCTCAGTCGCAACTTCCTCACAGAACACGAGTGGGAACTACATGATCAGATCACCCACGAGCTGTTCCACCAATGGGGGTGACCACAGATAGAACTCTTTGCCACCAGGCGGAACTCCTTCTTACCCAAAATGAACTCAGAATTCCATATTAATGAACCAGTAATCCTTCCCACTTTCTACCCAAAACCACCTCATTCCAGGGAAAAAGCCATATTACACTCCCTGGATGTCAGAAGGGCAATTGCCTTCTATCTTGATAGGACTCAATCCTTTTGATCATCTCAGAGATTGTCTTCCCAGTACATATCAAAGCTCATAACACCATGCATTACTACGTGCTACGCGCTCCGGAATAGGGTGTTGCCAACGAAACCAAAGGCCCACTCTACCATATCTATGGCGACATCCGCTGCTTTCTTAAAGGGAGTCTCACTCCAAGAAATACGCAGAACAGCGACATGGTAGTCTTATCACAGTTTCATAAAGCATTACGCTATTCCACCATGCTCCACAACAGATACCGCAGTAGCCAACATGGTTCTTTCCACAATCTGTAGCAATTGATCGAAGGCCACAGTCCATCTCAATGGGCACTGCTACACAGTCACCAACAGTGGAGCACCCACGGGGACATCTCTTGAAGAAGAAAGAGAAGTTACTCACTTTGTGCGGTAACAATTGTTCTCCGAGACTTGTGTTCCCCTGGGTGCTCCACTACCTGCCCTCCTCCCCACTTTTTCGGGCAATAATAGCAGTCCACAAGGGTGTCAAAGAAGAAACAGAGGAAAAGTGGGCTGCGCGCCCTACTTCAAAAACGGAAATGCCTCTCTTTGCTTGCACATGCACAGCCCGCCCAATCACTGCTGTCAAAGTCTCCAATCTGTGGTGCCCGGACGAGCCTGACACCAACTGTGGAGCACCCACTGGGACTCACAACTAGAAGAACAATTGTTACTGCACAAAGTGAGTAACTTTTCTTTATTATTTGGAAATAATGCCTTGTTTTGAAATAACGGGCTTGGTAGTGTAGATGCTCCCCTTGTTATTTCAAAATAAGGGGAGATATTTTGAAATAACTCCCTTGTGTAGACCTGAGCAAAGGTGCTACAGGACCATTGTTAAATTTTCTTAGTTACAGGCTTCAGTTAGTCTCCTGTAATGATGGAGTTGTTTGTAAGATCAGGACTGTAAGCACAGATTCAGTGAAACACTTACCTGCGTATTTTAAGTGCTTTGGGGTAAATTGTGACTTAAAGCTGGCTCTTATGGAGTTCTTCTTATAAACACCAAACAGACCATCTGAATACTTTCTATGTGGTCAGACATTGCGTAGACTACACGCTAGGCTCTGCCATACTTAAGTGGAATGGCTGCCTTTTGTTTCTGTAACTTCTGTGGCTAGGATGTTGACTTACTGCTCAGCCCTCTACAGAGAGGAACAGTGGATTGCTTTTCATCTGCTCGCTATTCTTTGACCTGTCCAAGAATAGGTCAAAGGTTGGATGATCCTACTAGGAGTTAAAGTGCCAGCTAGCATAGCTTTCTGGGTATGTCTGTAGTATATTTAATTGCTGGTTACCTAATCCCATTAGGTAACTCCGGTTAAAATAACGGTGAAAATGCATGAATTTAGCTTTTAGCTCAGGCTAGAAGTTTGAGTTTTAGCTGATAGGGGAGAGATTAGTTGTGAGAGCTGCTAATTCAAGTTAAAAGCTAAAGTGCCATGTCTTCACTGCTGTTTTAAAAATTAGCTAACGTGGAGTAGGTAACCCAAGCTAAGATAATTGTTTCTGTGTTTTGTTATTTTGCACTATATTCATACTCTGTGTCACTGGAATACACAAGCCTTTTCACCATCTCAAGGTACAATCTCAAAGTAGCATGCACCCATTTCATATTGTATTTTTGCAAGAGTGCTGAGTTTTCCTTTCTTGTAGCTCCCTTTTTTTCTTACTGCTTAAGCCTTATTTCAGTGAAAGTTTTCCTTTTCTCGTCCTCATCTGGCCTTTTCTTCATCTCTCCTTCAGGTTTAAGAAATGTGTCAAAAGAGATATTAAGATGAATGTCTAAGACTCTATTTAGCTGCCTTTACTTATTCTATCTTATGGACATCATGAATCCGGTTACCTTGTTTTCAGAGAACCATAACTGTTTCATTCCATGTTACCTTCTGTACTGTGGAATATAGCTCCAGTAGAACTACTTGAGCCTTTTCAGTAGCTCCATCTCCATAGATCTTCTCAATAGTCCTCTTTGTTTCTCTTTAACATGACCACTTAGAGAAACTCCCCATAATACAGTTTGCCCAAATAGCGTGGAGGGAATCCACGTTTGTCAAACAGTAAAGAATGTCTGGAGGAGAAATTAGGGTACACATGGAGTAATACCAAAAATAAATTGGAATATGGGC